AATGTTAAAGTAACGAAAGGCTGTGTGGAAGGGGTTAAAGGTTATAACAAATAAGGTTGGGAAGTGTTGGGAATAATGAGGAGAGTCGTGGTCTTACGCGGGCTCTTCTCTCGTTCAAATCATTATAAAAAGGGTGGAATTTCCCCCTCCCGAAAGGTATCTCAGCATAGTCCAGCATAGTTCAATATAGTTCGAATAACCCCTAACAATATACTTGTACTGCCCCTACAAAAATATTAATAAATTTATTAATAAAGACCCTTTGAACCACCAATACAATAACGCCAAATCGTTAAACCGCCTCTATTATCTTTGAGGAACGTTACGCGGCATAACCTTTTTTCTAGCGACAATCCGTCGCATTTGCCCCCATCTCTGGACTCGACATTAAACCCGTCACAATGTCAAGAAAATCCCGAGCTGCCGGCCAAAAAGATATGGGCCGCAGTATATCAAAACTTCTCTATATGTTTAACATTAACAATCGTATTTTATAAGTAAAATTTCATTCTGAAAACTTTTACTTAGAGGTCAGAAGTTAGTCATTATAGTAAATTTTTGTGTTATTTACGTTATTTACGTTTTTTTTACAATTTCTTATGTTTTCGCGTTTGTTTTGTTACACGAGATCCTGTGATTTTATTGGATCCGGATAGGGTCGGAAGTGATCTTTAGCGATCTTCTTGACATAAGGGTACCCGTCTCGAGGTCATGCTCACATGATTACTGCGCCTGTAAACAAGTTCTCTTCCCGAATCGAAAATTTAATTCTGAGGACGTTGAAGTCTCTGTTTTCATAAAAATAAATTCGTATAACCGTCTCTGTTTTATTGTTTTTTTTTTCTCCAACATTGCCAAAAGAAATATTAACCAGGATTTAAACATATCTGTATATCGGTATATACGAAGTTGGTTTCTGACGTAATTTTTTACATGACCAGTCTAATCACTTTTTTATATTACCCAGAAATACTGCTACTACCTAAATCCGGTCTCAATGTCTTACATATATCGTGTTATTATTGTAGCCATTTCTACCAATCTTCCAATAATCCTTTTTATGATTGTTACTGTTGGAATTGTGGTATGCAATATCTAAGCTGAATTATTATTTTCTCAGATTATGCGAATAACTCAAGCTTCGTTTGGTTTTTTTTCTATTGTCTGCGTTTGTCTGTTGACTGCCTTAGTCATCTACCTCGGTTATCTCGAATTCGGGGGTGTTATCTGGATTCTGAAGGGTCTTTATAGCCAATCATTGATCTTGTGTAATATAAAATCGTTAGATCAAATTTCCAAAATTCTTTGCTTTTTTTGCTTTAATGTCCAAAGCCAACCACCATAAGTTAGATCTTGATAATTTGGACTTTAAACGTACTTATACGTTTGAAGAGTTCGAATTAGTCAATGAACAACTAAAGCACGCACCTTGGAGATTGATGGAAACCCAGTAGACCTGTTTGAATTCAATAAAGGAAAACTCCTACCAATGCCACAAAGCCCGATAAACAAGGAAGCCGTTGTTCATGAGATCTCTCGCCAGCTTGGAAACTGGAATATGTATACTCACCAAAATGGAATTATCACTACATCTCAGGGTGGATTTGATTTCGACATTTCTGGTCGGCGAACAATTCGTGCACCTGATATTGCATTTATATCAAAGAATATTTACCGTTCGCTTGATCGTCAACAACAATGGACCTTCAAAGGCCAACCGTTTACACCCACATTTGTTCTGGAGGTTGCGATTGTTCGGGAAAATTACCAAGAATTTAATGATTTAGATCAAAAATTCAGAGAAATTTACTTTGCAACGAGTTCGTCAGTTGATCTTGGTTGGTTAGTGGACTCAAAAAATAAGCAAATATATATTTACAGACAGAGGGTTAGTGGAGTTGTCTATCGAACTTCACACGGCTGGAATAATGTAAATGGTGATTACAATTTCATAGGACAGGTAAGTTCTATTAATTTCTATTTTTTTTTATCGTTCATTACTTTTTTTATAAATTTATGTATTCCATAACTAGGAATCCTCAGAATCATCATCAGAAAATGATGAAATAATCGATTGCCTTAAATGTAATGCAACTTTTTCAAATGATTATGATTTTATGAAACACTATGAAAATAGCCATGCTCGTAGATGGCATAAAAGAGAGTAGAATATACTATACATTCATGTCATGTAATTGAAATGTATATCTGCGATATGTTCTTTTTTTGTATGTTGTTTTGGCGACATCCTTTACTTCATTAAATAAAGCAAAATTTCACGGAACCAGGCACAAAGTGCTATTATTTTGAAATATGGAAAAAGTTCCGATTTAAATATGTTGTAAACATGATCATGTAAGTGAAATCGATCTATCAGGGCAGGAAAAAATACATTCTAGAAATTCGAAATTCCGTATGTTTTATTCGAAAAAAATAATTCAAAATATAAATCATATAATAAAGTCAACATTTCGTTCATGACTCTCAAACTTCTTACAGGTAAAAATTTATAATCCAAAATCGAAAGGAACCTAATAGAAACAAACCTTTATGATAAAAGAAACATAAACATCTCTAAACAATGTACAAATCAAAATGCAAACCTGGTTAAAATAGTGGAAGTCGTACTTAACTGCTTGAAAACGTGCAAATGACTGTTAAATTAAATTCAAATACATGATCTTGAAGTTTGGAAAATATATGTATAACAAGTATCAAAAGGCATTAATTAATACACTATTAAAAAGCAGCACAAAAAAAATATACAACAGATAGAATGAGATTGGATCTACTTAAAATGGGTTAATAATCAGAGAAAAGATATCTTCTGAAGATTCCAACACAAAATCTTGCTGCTGAGAATGAAGATTGCCTAGCACGTCCTGGAAAAGTACACAGATTCCAGAACACTTTGACCTTGGATGCAAAGAATATGGAAAACATCCTATAGTATTCTAAGAGAGGCAAATGAAAATGAAATTCCCAAGTCGATGAATGAAATATTCACTGGTGAAAATGTGTGGCAAATAGATAAACGAAAAATCATTCTCTGGCTGAATGTCAATACAATATATGAAATATGGATACACGCAGGTTAAATGGGGAGGGAAACGAATACCAGATCCGATACTCACATATGCTGTCAATAATAGAATTTATAAGGAGGTAAAGTCTTCAAAGGAGATGAAAAACAACAATGAAAAAGAACGGAATAATTTATTTCATCACTTAGAAGTAGAAAATACACGCCACATTACACACATGTAAATAATTATTAACACTAAATATAACGTATCAGATGCAATTTTATTATGACGCCCTATGGCGGTTAAGAAGGAAAAAATATTTATTTAAGAAAAAATATTTAAATAACATTATAAAATTTTTAATATTAAGAATCAAAAAATCTGCATTTTATGCTTAGAAAAACGATATAATATGGTGTGTACATGCATATTTTTACATAAAGTTTAATGTTAATAACAAATTTTATATATACTAACAATGTATTACTTTTTTTTGGTGCTTTTTTTTTTTTAACTCTTTGGAGACTTTTTACTCGATTCACTACTTGATGTATGTTGTTGGTAACCTTCCTGTTGCCCATCATTAGTCACATATAAATGCTGTGGTTGTTCATTTTCAACACATTCAGGTATGACTTCAAAATTAGGTCTAATTGGAGAATAACTCGTTGGAGAATAACTCGTTGGAGAATAACTTCCTCGAGAATAACTTTCCTGAGGATAGACTCCCGGATATTGGGAAAATATGACCGGTTGCTGAGGTATCGGATATACTGGCTGAAATTGTTGTGAGTATGGATGCACTGGTTGAAGTGGTACCGCATATATTGGTTGATATTGTGGGAATTGTGATGGATCCACAGGGGGGAGTGGCTGTGAGTTTGATTGGTATTGTGGCGGATGCATTGGGAATTGTGGTATTGGTTGAAATTGGATTTGCTGGTATTGCTGTGGATCTACCTGGTATTGCAGTGGGTCTACCTGTTGGTATTGCAGTGGGTCTACCTGTTGGTATTGCCGTGGATCTACAAGTTGGTATTGCTGTGGATCTCCCTGCTGGTAATTCAGCGGATCTACTTGTTGATGCTGTTGTGGATCTACTTGCTGGTATTGCTGCGGATCTATATACTGGATTCGCTGTGGACTTGCTTGCTGGAATCGCTGTGAATCTATTTGTTGTGAGTCTTCTTGTTGAGATTGTTGAGAATCTACTTGTGATTGCCGAGAATTTGTTCGTGATTGTTGAGATTGTTGCGAATCTACTTGTGATTGCCGAGAATTTGTTCGTGATTGTTGAGAATCTGTTTGCGATTGTTGAAAATCTACTTGTGATTGCCGAGAATTTGGTCGTAATTGTTGAGAATCTGTTTGCGGTTGTTGAAAATCTACTTGTGGTTGCCGAGAATTTGTTTGCAATTGTTGAGAATCTACTTGTGATTGCCGAGAATTTGTTCGTAATTGTTGAGAATCTGTTTGCAATTGTTGAGAATCTACTGAGAATCGCACTTGTCGAGGACTTTTAGGTGGACTTTTAGGTCGAGTTTGTGATTGTGATACAGAAATGGTGGCACTACTTGTAGTAGACACTCGCTTTTGAGAACTCATAGTAGGTATAGTAGGTGCAATAGACCAACGAGGACCTATAACAATTTGATTTGTCTGATCACCGTTTGACGTAGAATCTGGTACACTTTCAGTTGTCACATCAATTATTATTGGATTTAAACCACCACCACTGATTTTTCTTCTATACCTTTGATAATAAACGAAAAAAAGAAGCAAAAGACCCAATCCAACAAAGACTGCACCAACTACTATACCAATAAGTGCTTGCATACTAAGACCGCCTGGACCTGTTTCATCTGTGGATGCGTTATTTGTTGCTGAATCATATTCCAGTAAAGTACTGGATATATCTTTTAAAAAAAAAATTATTGTTATTTATACAAACTGCAAGAAAAAAATCACAATACAATACAGTACAATAAGCACTTACTTGGAGAATATGATGTAACCCATTTGTAACCCACTGTATCAAACAAATAAATAACAGGATTTTCATTATTCACAAGAGTGGTATTTTTTCCTATAAATAATAAGAAATTTAATAGAAAAAAAAACATTTAACTCCCTTCATAAAGTTTTATAATTAATTATTAATAACTAAAATTAATTTACTTTGTATTAAATAAATATAATTAAGTACTAAACTAATTTTATTCATGATTCTATATAATTTGTATAATCCATCTAATCATTGCTATGGATCAATTTAATAGAGATCAAAACAAATTTCCTAAGCTATTCAAAATTAATTATAATACTTAAACCTACAACAATGATAGATTTCAAATAACTTTGAAGGAAATTTGTTTCTTTTTAAAAATCTGTTGATACGAAATTGTGCTATTGCAACTTAAAACAAGAATCTAAGTAATCATACACATAAAGGTAGAACTATAGAAAATGAGATTATTATTTACCAAATGATATGATCATATAGTAATTCATCATTATCGCAGTATGAGCCGCAAGAGGTGGTGCGGCATTATCCGGTGGGATTTTTGGTATAATCCATTTAAATGGGGTTGTTGTAATATCAAGTATTGCAAGATCCGGTGAAACTCTAGGATCAGAGGAATTATCATTCATTCCACCATAAATAATGATCCTTTTGTGATGATCTATTAAATAGAGAATGGATTTCTTAAATTATTTTAATTCTAATGCAGATAACTATATGTATATATAGTATATAGTTACCAAGTACAGCAGTATGAAAGATACGAGAATCAATGTTATCACCAGTGGCAATCTAAATAATTATAGAGTTCTGTTAACAAATATTGATATGAGTTTGAAACCACGAAGAATAGAAAGATTTACATTAAGTGACCATATTCCAGAATTCATATCGTATGTCCAAATCTGCAAATGTTGAGAGTAAAATAAATTGATTTACGCAAGTTTTTATGGTTAAATCCTTTAGACAAGTATAAATACATACTTTATTCATATCTGCAAGTTTGACAGTACCATCACTATAAATTTCTTTCCCTCCGATCAAAACGAGTATTTTATTACATATTGTCAATGTATGACCAGCTCTTTTTGTAGAGGTAGATGAAGAATTATTTGTAGTCCAAGTTAAATGAACAGTATCTAAGATAATAAAGTTATTAAAATATTTAGATTCGGATGAACCAGTAGTTGCATCAGATAATCCACCAAATATATAAATTTTTTCATCATCAGGATTTACAATAGAAGTTATTTCTTTACGCCTTTGTGGAGAATGGCCAGAAATCTTTGGAGAAGACCAAGTTTGGTCAATTGTATTAAATGTATAAACTAGAGAATTACTAATTTTATTATTTGAATCGAACATTAAACCACCAATTAAAAATATTGTATTATTATTGGATCCACCCAATGAAGCACTACACCATGAATTACTAACTGGGGCAGGAGAAAGATCCGTCCATTGTGGAGAAGAAGTAACAAAAGGAACAGATAAATCGAGAAAAAATAATTCGTTTGAAACGCCAGCACCGTTTTGCAATTCACCGCCAATAAAATATAATTTTGAATTAACTAAAATGTTGGCATGGGCAAATCTTGCCAAAGGTGTAGAAGTAACGTTGGCTATGAACAATCTCGACGTTAAAAGAATTAACAAAAAGATATACATAGGAATCATAATTGACATAAGTTTAAACCTAGTCAATCATTCACGTATACTTATGGACTTCTTATTTACATAGCTTTTTTTTTTTTTTTGCAACTTGGAATGAAAACTAGTAAACGGTGGTGGATGTTGCATATAATGTACGTACCTACATATGTACATATATATTATCTTAGTACTACTAAAGAAAAATATTTTCAGATCTTTCTCTTTTTGTAAATTTTACCTTAAAATAAAAAAGCAAATTTAGTAATAAGTAACTGCGGTTACAAGCCGATAATTTGCTAATTAAACTTTTAGTGCTACAATTTTTGAACCATATGATGCATCTGTACAAAAGTTTCGGTGTTATTAGTAAACTTACTGTAATACTACGTATACGTATACGTAGTAGCTATAAACTTTCACACCAAAGATATACGTACCATGTCGTAACTATAACCTGCACTTCTGACTGTAAGTACGAAAACGCACTAATAATAATATTAATTAATATTTTTTATGTTATCATTTTTCTGTCGTTATACATATTTTATTTAAAATTTTTGCATACCAGCATAAATGAATGTCCTTCATGTGTAATTAACACCTTTTAAAACAATAGCTTCAGGAGTAACATGTACGAGAACCATATGTTTTAACGGGCTAATTTTTCCTTCTAATATCCACAGATTGACGTATAAAAGTTCCCATTGGTTAATAGTTGATGTCTTATATAAACGTAAAGTATGCTATGCTTTATTGCTATAACCATATATAGTATTATTAAATTTGCCAAATTATTGGTTCGAATATGGTGTTTTTTTTGTTGACAATGCTAATGCTTCGCTCCATTCAACTTGGTTACCACATTTCACAGTTCCTATGATAGTTGTTATCTAATATAGATTTAGAAAGGATCAACGAATTCTTTTGTTATGGCCTTAAAATTTGTGATTATCAGACCATCTGTCTAATAAAAAATCCGGCGCAAAAAAAAACCAATAAGATAATTCGGGATATTAGTAAATAAACATGGATTGATGTATTCACAGAGATAAAGATTTAATATTTTGTTTTTTTTTAAAAAAAAACAAATTTTAATAATTATTACTTATAACACCACGATTACAATTATGATTTCGATTACATAACGATAATTACCAACATTACCAACATATATTATATCGATATAAAAACACGAGCGAGGACTTTTTCATAATTTGTTCAAGTAGATACTACCAAAAGAGTATACATGGCAAACACTTTGACAATATTCAATCGGGAACCTCATTTTATTATTTATCATAAGAGTTTGGTTTGTATTACTATTCATAGAAATACAACTATTCCCGAATAGGAAGATAAGAACCAATACGTAACTGTTCATTAAAAATTATCAATTAAGAATTATCTTCATTAAAACATATAGATTCGTTTCAAAATGAATTAGTCTATCTGTGAAAATTCCTATTTCACTATTCTGTATAAAAACATTAAAGGACTAGAAATTAACATTACCATGGAGTTGAATATATTTTTGTCTTTCTCTAGATCGAATCGTAATTAATAAAGCGCAGCTCTCATAACCCGATATTCTCTCATTCATATTTATTATATGAACAAATGAATACAAATCCATATTAAATTAAACTCCAAGAATAGTGACATTACATAAGCATCTTTTGATGCGAATTATAAACTTAGAGCTCTAAGTGTCCGTACGAAAGAAATTTTGGGGCATGTACATATTGTCTCATCATCGGGATGTCATAATTGCATACGAAAAGTAACGCGAATAGTCAAAACAATAAATTCGAATTTCGACCATGAACATATATGGTTGAATCTCTTTTAGTATAGGTAACCACTTAATAAAATATATTATTGCATGTTACCAAATAAAAGTATCCAAAATGTTGCAAAAAAAATGAAGGGGTTGCTTATATTCGGGTCCAATTTTATTAGTAGAACAACCTTAGTCAAATTTTCGGCACCAAAATCTAGAGGATTGCTTTTATTCAGTGATTGCTTCTAATCAGTAACATAAGTAATCAATTGATTAAGTAGTGCCACTTATACTAAAAAGATACAATAAAATAAATTTTTTTTTTATCTGAGGTTTTTTAACATTGAATTTTAAAACTCAATTTATACATTCCAAAATGTTCCAATATTGTTCTATCATAAATGCCGACCATTTTTATGTTATCTCAATAATGAATTATGGATTTGATGTAACGTAACGATTATGAGAATTCAATTATCAGTCAATTCACAAACATAGCGATAGTGCAGGCCATATAGTAAATTCTTATAATACATTTTTTTTATAAATCAACGATAGTGATAGTAAAATATATAATAATACATTTTTTGATTTTTTTATTAAAAATGCATCAAAAACGAGAACTTTGTATAGAACTCTAGACAATAAATATAAAAATAAAAACATCTATTGCTTTAAAAAGCATGTTAAAACGAACTTGAGAAACGTAATTTTATTTATGCAGGTTTGTTGTTTGAATTTTATATGTTTTTATATAATATTTGTCGACCTATAAAAAAAAAGTATTATGAGAATTTATTATATGACCTGCATTATGTTTGTAAATTGACCGATATGATACATCCTAATCTTTTGTGAATTAATAAACAAATTTTTATGCACAGTGCGGGAATAAACCAACATTTTTTTTTATTAAAAATAGCCAAATTTTAAACTTACATAATCAATTATGACTGGTTAATTTTTATATAGTCAATTGTAATTAATTATAAATTTCTTTTTTTATATATTAACGGTCAAAATTTCAAGCTATTATAAACTTTAAATTGTTATAACTATTTAAAATTAAAAGAGTAAACTCATTTTTAGCCAAATTGTAGCTTAAACTTAAGGTTACAAATTGGTTAAAATAGTTTAATTTATTTTAATTTATTTTTAAGTTACAGTATTACAAATGTTGCAACCTATATATTAAAAACATTAATTTATATTGTTTATTATATGTTATATTATACTAGAAAATAAATATTTTTTAAAAAATTATGTTTTTCATTTTAATATTATATTTTATAAATTTAATATATCAAAATATAACAAATATATTATACTTTTTTAAAAAAAATAAAATAGTTATAATATTTTATAAATTTTTAAATTTTAGTTTTATAAAGTAAATTAACTAAATTGTATAAATTTGATAATTAGTATGTGACGACCTAGTGAAGTGGTCAGGTTGTCAACCCTCCAGTGGTAGGTTGGGTGTTCAAATCCCATCAACGGCAAAAATTTGGATAATTATCTATGTGTAATATTCATATTATGGCAACTGTTACTAATGATTAGGTTAGGATACCTGTAATAGCAGTCACACCAGCATGACTGGCAGGTTATGGAGCATCTGTGCAATGTTGGAGTTACACAGAGGAATGCAAACTGACAAATCAGGCAGTGCAAACACTAGATAAGTCCTT